CGATGAAAGCCCCATGCTCAGCTTCGCTGAAATCCATCACCTGAAATGAGAACAACTAAGTCACCAAATAACATGAACACGGATTGAGAGCACTATACCCCAGCAAATAAGCGATCTTCAATGTCAATTCCACGTGAATCGGCTTCCTCTGCGATCCCTTGGAATAAGGCGACGAAATGATACTTGAAGTGGAGAGTTCGTGCCCCGTTTGAATATGAGAACAGGGAAGGCGACCATGATTGCGTTTTGACATCATAGACAGACGTCACAATGAGTAGGGCGTTGCGCTCTGACCACCACCCATGAGTGGCATCGTTGACAGTCCCATTAACTGGCTCCTCCAGAGTCGTATCCCTCACCAGAAGCGAGCGCATGAACGGTGTTTGAAGGGAAACAACCGTGACAATCCCAAATGTTGAAGAGACAACGAACTCGGGATGGTCTTCCTCGAGCTTCTTGAAGGCAGCAATAAAGCCATCTCCACCTACATCAGCTCCTTGTTTAATCTTCGAACGCTCTTTGCTAACACGGTCTGCATTCCAGAATATGTCAGATATTTCGGTCACGGATTTCCCGGGACCATTAATCCCTGGAACGCCCACGATGAGACCTAGAGGACCGACAGTTGGATGGGCCTGAACAAGGTCCTGGAAGCGATTCTTCTCTTCCCCAGATAAATGAAGCATGTGGGTCGGACGCGGGTGTTTATGAGCACCACTATTCGTCCAGTGTATCCCCTCGGCCCACTTCCAGAGAGTCTCGTGAACCGAACAGCGTTCGTGGTATAGTACTGCGCCACATTTGCATGACTGCTGAAGCTGAGCCTGAAGCGGTTTAGGATGGGTGCGAGGGCGAATGATGATCCTACAGTCGGGGTTATCACACTCAATAATGCCCAAGCACTTGCGCACGCTCTTTTTACCACCCTCCCAAGTTAGGGCAAAAATATCGCCCAGTCGAGTTCCATTGGTTTTCGTCGCCCAGTGCACTTGAAGGTCATCAAGGCGCTCAACTTCGTCGAAGGAGAAATCCTTCTTGAGAACATCGTCAGGCCAGCCATCCCAGACAAAAGATGAAGATGCAGATTCGGTGAGAATAGGCTTCTCCAAGTCGTCAAGAGTCCGATTAGGTGTGGAGGCAGTAGTCGTGGTATTTTTCTTGTGAATTCGAGTTGTGGACAGTGTTTTCCGTGCCCCAGAGTCGTGGGTTCCTGGTGAACATCCTGAGGAACATTAATATATTTGGGAGGAGAAAGTGGGGCATACCTTCAGCTCGGGGTTCATCCACGGCTTTCCCAATGTCACGGTAGGCAACAATCTTTCCTGGAATAGTGTTAGCCCGAAAAATGCTCCTAGGATAGCATATATTACCGTTTTTTATGACAGGAACACAGTTTTCAAATAAATCAGTTGTATCTTGCTTTGTTCGATGGGCTTTCGGTTGATAAACCTCATCAGACTCGTCCTCGGTGAAGTACCGAAGCATGTGCCGAAGGAATCCCTTTTACATAATGCCGTCAGCAAGAACTTAGACGCCCAAGACTGCCGACAACGCCTACCAGAACCATGATACCTCTTTTCAACACAACTCTCTCAAAGACGAAGGTAAAGAATGAAGGTCGAGTCCATGAAAAATTTCTCCCCTAAAGATGTTATCATGGCCGATTGCGTGTTGCTAAACGGAACCAAATTCTAGGTTGAGCACTCCACACCGACTATCTTTGACCGCCCAAAAACATATTTTTCA